TTATGTTATTATAATGATGATAAAACCTGCATGGTTTTGTTACATATTTCTATTTAGATCAAATAATATTTATCTTTATTATTATTATTATTATATTAGATTTGATACATTTATATCCTAACTTAAACCTAACATGATGGAATTACTTGCATGATTTGGTTACATGTTTCTGTTTAGATTAATTTAGAAATGTAAATTCTATGTTAAATTTTAATTTCAAAATTAAATGTAATTTTGATTACATGTACATTTGGTTACATGTTTCTGTTTAGATCCTATTAAATTAAATTAAATTAAATTAAATTAAATTAAATTATAACACTAACATGATGACATAACCTGCATGATTTGGTTATACATTTCTGTTTAGATTAAATTAAATTAAACTACTAATATCATGAAATTACATGCATGATTTGATTATGTTTACATTTACACCCAAGTAAAAAATAATATAATTACACCCAAATAAAATAATTTAAAATATAAAATAAATAAACATGATGAAATAACCTGCATGATTTGGTTACACATTTATTTAATTTTAGATTACATTTTTATTATATTATTTTATATTACATATACATACATGTAACAATTACATTTTTGTACCATTTATCATTTTGACATATATGGGATTTGAATTATGATATGACAAACAATTCTGCTGCTTTTGAAGGCTACAAGTATAAAATGCCATTAAAAATGAATTTATGAATATATCATGGGTTGCAGGAATTAGTAATCAATCATGATGTTCTACCAGCACGAAACAGCATTCACTAACCCATTTTACTTTCATAATGTATTTGTGTTCACCGTAAATCAGACAACCACCCAACTAGTCAGTTTTGACTGCATGTGGCTGTGCACATCTGTGTGTGAGTGTTTACCGGAGCATGCAGATGTAGAGTCCGGCGTCCTGCGCCGAGGCCGGCTGAATCCACAGGTACTCGCGGTCTTTGTGCAGTGTGTGTAGTTTGAGGTTGATGGGCTGCTCCAGCTCGTGTGTGTGTGTGTGTCGGTACCACAGCAGAGACAGACTGCTGTTCTGAGTCTGACTGTAGCTGTAGAGCGTGGGATGAGAGAAGAGCGGACAGTAGAGATACGCCACTTCCCCGTCATACACCCGCACCGAATCCTCGCTCCACACGCCCCAGTCATGACACTGAAGCTCTGAAACACCACAGAAACACACCTCTCAACTCTCAACGGTGTCTCAGATTTACCAAAATAGACAGTTTGCAATCATAAGTACAAGACAATAAAACAATATGCAATAAAGGACAAAACAAGGAAGAACAGCACAAATAAACAATGCCAAAACAAAAGTATATGCACTTTAGAATAATAATAAGAGAACCCGTATGCAATCGTCTTCACATTATCATGAAGCAGTGCAGTTGACGATAAAGTGAGTGTTAAAGTGTCGAGTGTCTGTGCAAAGTGTCCAAATGATCTGAGCTGCTCCATATTCATTTTATAGCTCCATACTGTTAATACACAACAACTATTGACTCCAATGAGTCTATTTTTATTTTTAGGAGAAACGGAGTTCATAGTCTATCAGTCAAAAGTTTGGAATAATTCTGATTTTTTTATGTTTTTGTCTTCTGCTCATCAAGGCTGCATTTATTTGATATATATATATATATATATATAAATAAATAAAGGACAGCATTTATTTGAAATGGAAATGTTTTGATATATTATAATTGTCTTTACTGCCACTTTTGATCAACTTAATGCATCCTTGCTGAATAAAAGTATTCATTTCTCTTTACTTACCCCAAACTTTTAAACGTTTTTTTTTTTCAATATTCGCAGCACAACTGTTTTCAACATTGATAATAATCAGAAATGTTTCTTGAGCAGCAGATCAGCATATTAGAATGATTTCTGAAGATCATGTGACACTGAAGACTGGAGTAATGATGCTGAAAATACAGCTTTGCATCACAGAAATAAATTTTATTTTAACATATATACACATAGAAAACCATTATTTGAAATTGTAATAATATTTTAGAATATTACAGTTTTTACTGTATTTTGATCAAATAAATGCAGCCTCGGTGAGCAGAAGCGACTTCTTTCAAAAACATAAAAAAATATATATATATTATTCCAAACTTTTGACCTGTAACGTACTTCAGTGAAACATAACTAATAACTCCATTACATCACCTGAGCTATGAAAGCAACATGGTAAACAATAAAATTTCCTTCGCATGGGCTCAAACACGCACTTATACACTCAGGCCCTTGCACACACACACACATTATTGCGTGCAAATCAATATTAGGTAATTGAGCTATCAAATTTATGACACGAACATGGTGTAAAAGTTAAAACATTAAAAAGGCTGAATCAATTACAGCTTAAAACTCACACATCAGCAACTAATGCATCAATATGAAATTAATACCTAGGCACGCTCTTTTTCTCTCTTTCTCTCTCTCTCTCTCTCTCTCTCTCTCACACACACACACACACACACACAGACACACACACACACACACACAC